ATGTAAGTCCAGGGATGGCAGTGGGGCTCCTCAAGGTGGATTCAGGGATATGGGGTGTGATTTGGGCTCCCCACTTTGGATGTGTGGGGCTGGGAATGGCAGTGGGGTACCCCAAGGTGGGTTTGTGATCCGGGGATGGCACTGAAGCCCCCAGTGGGTGTCAGGGTCCCAGGGCTGTCACCCAGCTGTGGATGCACAGGGACACCCAGTCCAGCTGTGCTGAGCCCATACTGGGAGCACTGGCGCTGAACTGGGGGACTCCTCCCAAGTGCTGTCTGTGGGATTTCCAGCCCACTCTCCTTTCTGGTGGGTGCAGGCCCCCTTTGTACCCTTGGGGCTCCCCAGTGAGGGTGAGGACAGGGTGGGGACACCCCTGTGTGCTGCCAGCCCCATGCCACCGTCACCCTGAGCTCCTCTCCCTGCCCCAGCTCCTCTCCTTATCCCGCCTGCCCCTGGCCAGCACAGCCCCAAATATGTTTTGAAGAGAGCTGCAGGGCTTATTCTTTTCCTGATGATGCTAAATTTAAGCTCTCAATCTTCTTATCTGCTGTGAAGGCAGCGCCATCTAATCTCCTGCATTCACCAGAGCTACTCCAGAGCTACTCCAGAGCTACTCCTGGTTGTTCCTCTCGGCCGTCAGGGACACAAACAAGAGGCTGTGGTTTGCTGCCGTCACAGGGAAGGCATGCTGCAGTTCCCTGCTCCCAGGAGATCCAGGCCAAACACAAAGAGGAGGGAAGCAAAGAAAAAACAAACAAACAAAAGGAATGACCACACTATTTAAATGTTTATTATCAGAAATATCCTGACTCTGCTGCTTAGTCTGCTTCCTGTTAGTGCAGGGAAGCCAGGCCTCGTGGAAGCTGCAGAAAAAGGTGGGAAATCCTTTAGTGGGCAAGATTTAGGGGGTTTTTTTAAGGCTCTTTTTGTGTTGTCTGTGAAATTCCTGGCTCTGTTATCACCAAACTAACAGAGGTTGTTAATGGGGGTGGGTGCAGTGTGAGAGGGGCAAGGGGGAGGATTGGAACCTGTGAGAGGGGCAAGGAGGAGGGTTGGAACCTGCCACCAACTGCTCTGACCCTGGTTTTGATGGGAATCCTATTGGGATGGAGGATCCTTAATTAGTGAGGGTGTCCCAGCAGTGCTGGGAGCTGTTCACTGGTCTTTGCTGGCATTCAGCCCAGCTGGGACATCCCAAAATCAGCTTTTTCCACAGGGGAAGGCCCAGGGAAGTGGCAGCTCCACCTGCTTGGTGCCAGAACCCTTTACCATTAGAGATGCACTCAGGATAAACAAAGAGCTCCTGAGCTGAGTGCTCAGGTACAAGAGGAGAATCCAGTTCATCCCTTCCAGGATGGAGCTGTGCCAGGTGAATTTTCCTGCTCCTTTCCATGGGCAGCTCCAGCAGGAAAGCTGCAGGGGCTGTGGCAGGGCGCACCTTGTCTGGGCAGGTCGAGCAGGTGTGTGGCGAGGCAGACAGAGGATTATTGTCTCTGCCCAGCAGCTGAACGCTTTGGTGGCCCTGTGGTTTCCCCCCATGGTTGGTGACAATCCAGCAGTGGCTTTGCCGAGCTGGGGCTTGCGCAGCCTCCCCTTTCCCCTAAAATAGCCGGGGGAAAAGGAGACGGCAGAACGGGAGGGCACGCTGCGAATGGCACGTAGGCTGTGTGACAGCTGCCCTGCCAGCGGCTCTGGGGACCCTGGCTCCGGCTGGGGACACGGCCCTGGCGGCCAGCAGCGCTCCGCGACAGCGGCTGCACGCCTGGGCTCGTCCAGGAGGTGGCAATGGCAATCCACACACACTGCCGGCCTGGGAAATCGGGGAAAAGAGGGTTTCCTGCTGGTGTGGGTTTGGTGTTTAAGGGATGTTTTCAGAGGGGCTGCACTGTGGCTGCGGCGGAGAACTCTGGAGTGACACCTAACATTGCAGAAAATACACTTTTCTTGGAAATGTGGTCATGTCCCGGGTATTTTGGGGCTGATTTGTACGGTATGGTGTCCTCATACATGTTAGTGCATTTAATTTCCTTCCTTCCTTCCTTCCTTCCTTCCTTCCTTCCTTCCTTCCTTCCTTCCTTCCTTCCTTCCTTCCTTCCTTCCTTCCTTCCTTCCATTCCTAAATTCCTTCCATTCCTAAATTCCTTCCTTCCTAAATTCCTTCCTTCTTTCCTTCCTAAATTCCTTCCCTCCTTCTCTTCGCCTCCTCCCACTAGTTTTGCCTGTTCCACACAGGACTGGGATGTCCCCAACCAGCTCTGTGACATTCCCAAAGTGCCACCACCTCTCCAGCCAGATCCCATTCCCTGCGCCTTGGGACCCGAGCTATGTTGGGGGCTGCTGCCTGCCAGTCTCCTTGTCCGTACACTCCGAGAGATTTGGGGTGAAAAAGCACCAAAAAAAGCACAGAAATGTTCCCTGCGGCAGCATCTTCATCCAGCCACCTCTGGGGCTCCTCTGAGTGAGGAAACAAAAGCCCAAGGAGCAAAGTCTGAGCGGAGAGTTCCCCAGCAGAGGGTGGTGTCAGCCCGGCTGGCATTCCCTGGCTGGCTGTCGTTCCCGGGCTGTCATTCCCAGCAGTGACAAGACACAGAAGAGGGGAACATCAGCTCCAGGAACAAAATCCAACCTCTATAATTTATTCAAGCTCCCTTTTAGCTCAGGACCCTTCCCAATAAACCAAGGAGGCAGCAGCAGGGGAATGGATGAGGTGAAATCCAGGTGCTGCTCAGTCAGAGGTTTGTTCTTCTCCACAGCCCCATCCTCTTGCAGAACACTACATTTGTACAATCTGGAGCTCACAGCTCACCAGCGTGTGCTGGATCCCAGCTCCTCCCGAGCCTGGCTGCGCAGGTTTTGGTTGTTTTTATTTTTCCTGCTCTCAGCAATCTCTGCCATCAGCCCTTTGGGTTGTCAGAGGTAGGCGAGGAGCGTGCTCGCTCCAACACCTCCCACGCCGAGCCTGGCTCTGCAGCTGCAGGGATTGCTCCCAAGTGTCCAGGGGCCAAGAATGCTTTTTATTACTCAGTGAGAAAGCCAAGCTGTGCCTTGCAGCTTTAATTATGCACATACAATCAGCTCCTCTGTTGTCATCTACCTACAGACCTGACCTCACACGGCAGCCTGGTTCTGACTCAACCAAAATTATCCCTGGCACCACTCCACTGCCTTCAGTAGCCTCGTGATCCCTGCCCATGGGTGCTGTTGGAGGGCAGAAACGCTTGGTGAAGAGCTGAAAGAGCAAGAAAATCATTGTGAGAAAGCAGCTCCTCAGGGTATGGGGAGTGTGGGCTGGGATCTGGGCACTCCCAGGGCAGCTCTGATGGTGAAACTGGAGTTGTGTGGATGCTGCTCCCTCTTGGGTGGCACTGAGGGACAGCCAGCACCTCGCCATGAAATAATCCCTTCTTACCAAAAAAAACCCCAAACTTTCCTTGGAATTGTTTTCTGTTGGTCGGAGAGATCCTCCTTCCTAGATGGAAAAGCAAGGATCATGGCTGTGGAGTTCTCGTTCTCCTTTATCTCCGCTCGGCTCCATTTGGAAGAGATTAGTGCTGCGTTTGTTTGACATGCAGGTTAATAGCTTCCCTTCGTCCCTGTCCCGGCTTCCGGCTCTGCCTATCTGGAAAAGCCGGGCTGGAAATGAATCGGCAAACTCTGGGGAGAGGATCTCGGAACAAAACTCAGAACAGATTTGAAAAGAGGCTGTTCTAAGCCGCGCTGATTTGGAAGGAAGCCATCGGTGAAAATCAGAGATTTTTCAAAGAGTTTGCTGCCAAGGAGTTAATGCCTGAGCGTCGAGGTTTTTAATAAATGCGCTGGTAATTAATTATAGGAGTTGTCCTCCCGTTTGAAAGTCAAGGAACGCGATGCCGTGTTTGGGTTAAACATCTCCCCTGCAGTATTTGCAACCCAAACACGGCATGACGAGTGGGAAGACAAAGCGGGGTCTGTGCGAGCGTGTGCGGCCCTGGGGAGGCGGCGGGGGGGCCGGTACCGTTCCTGCCCCAGAACCGGGAGATCCCCGGTACTGCTCCTGCTCCAGAACCGGGGGAGCCCCGGTACCGCTCCTGTAGTGCCCGCAGCCCTGGGGGGACCGAGGGAGCCCCGGCTCCTCTCCTGCCCCGGTACCGCTCCTGCTCCAGAAGCGGGGAGCTCCGGTACCGCTCCTGCCCTGCCCCAGCGGAAACGGGGGAGCTCCGGTACCGCTCCTGCCCCAGCCCCAACACCGGGGAGCCCTGGAGAGAGGGCACCCCACAAAACGCGGTGCCGGCTGGGCCAGCGGGGACAGCGAAGCCGCGCCGGGGCTCTGGGCGGATTTCCCGGAACAGGGAGAGGAACGGGAGGGAGGGAGGGATACAAGGGAGAGGGGGAGGAAAAACAAAACAAAACCCAGGAAAAATAAAAAAGGGGAGGGGGGAAAAGGGAAAAATATTGGGGGAAAAAAAAAGCGGGCTGCGAGCCAAAGCGTCGCCAAAGCCCCTCCGCCCCCGGGCTCCCGCAGACAAAGGGGCGGCGGGGCGGGCTGGGGGCGGACCGGGGCTGCTCTGTGCTCGGTGCCGGGGGCGGGCCGGGGGCTGTTCCGCTGCCCGGGGCGGGCCGGGGACTGCTCGGTGCCGGGGGCTGCTCGGTTCTCGCTGCTCGGTGCCCGGGCCCCCCGGCGGTGCCCGGCTCGGCCGCCAGCTGCGCTCCCTCAGCAGCGCAAGTTTCCACCGGGCGCCGCCACGGAGTTACGCTGGGGGGCGGCCCCGCCGTGTCCGTCTGTCCGTCTGTCCGTCCGCCGCTTTGTTCCCGGAGGATGCGGCGCGCCTAACCCCGGCGCAGGCGGTGGGGCCGCAGCGGGGGCAGGGGCAGCCCTCCGCCGGAAAACTCCGCGCCGCCCTCCTTCCTCCTCCTCCTCCTCTTCCTCCTCCTCCTCCTCCTGCCGCTGCCGCTCGCAGCCCCGGCGCGCAGCGATGCTGGCGGGGCCGGCGGGCGGCGATGGAGCGGGGCGGTAGCGCGGAGCCGCCCAGCACCGCGGCCCCTCGGGCGGCTGCCCGCGGCCCCTGAGGAGGAGGAGGAGGAGGGAGAGGAAGGCCGGGGCGGCCAGCGGAGCGCGGCCATGGAGGAGTGGCGGCAGTGCGGGCGCTGGCTCATCGACTGCAAAGTTTTGCCCCCGAACCACCGGGTGGTCTGGCCCTCGGCCGTGGTGTTCGACCTGGCGCAGGCGCTGCGGGACGGGGTGCTGCTGTGCCAGCTGCTGCACAACCTGTCCCCCGGCTCCATCGACCTCAAGGACATCAACTTCAGGCCGCAGATGTCCCAGGTAGGAGCGGAGAGCTGGATGGATGGAGGGGTGGCCGGGTGGGGAACCCCCGGGAGCGCCTGGATCCCGGGATGCGGCTGCTGCTCTGCGCAACTTGGTGGGATATGGGATGGGATGGGGTGGGAGACCCTCTGTTTCACCCCCCCCCCCCCCCCCGGTTAAAATGCGGCCGAAAAATTAGGATCAAAATTTGAGAATGCCCCATAGCCTCTCCCTTTATTCGAATAAAGTAAAAGCACTCCTCTGTTAAAAATTAAGGGAATGCCCCATAGCCTCTCTCTTTATTCGAAATAAGTAAAAGAACTCCTCTGTCTCCTTTGCTCTGATGTTTGTGGGTTGATTTTCCCACCACCCCGCAGCCCCTCCCAGGCTTTATCCCCCCGGTTTGTCTCCGGGAAAGGCTCCGGGGCAGTGAGAACGGCCCGGGCAGGAGGGAAACATCCCCCTGGTGTTTACAGCCGTGGCGAAACAAAAGCAAATAGCAGGGCATGGAGGAGATGGGATTATTGGGGGTTTTCATGGAGGCGCTGCTCCGTCTGGGATGTGCGGGAGCAGCGGGCGCCGGGACCAAAGTTTGGCTGGGAAGACTCAAAGCAAAATAAATGAATAAATTTATGAAAACACGCGAAGCTCTGGCGCTCTGTGAGGCTGCTCCGAGCCTGGCCGGGCAGGGAGCGAGGCCGGAGCAGCGGCCGAGCCCCGGTGCTGCATCCCTGATGGGGATGGGGGGCTCAGGCAGGGACCCCAATCCCACCCTTGCCCTGTTCTCCCATTTGGCTCCTTTAAAAGGGGCTCCATCCTTGGAAGTGTTTCCAGTTGTTGGTTTGGTGGAAGGAGGCTTAAACAAACAGAAAGGAAAAAAAAATTGAAAAAAAGAAGTAAAATCAGCTCAGCTCAGGTTGTTTTGTGTCTGAGAGCTCCGCTGGTGTTTGTGCAAGCTGGGCCGCGGGTATTTGCATGGGAATCGGGAAGTGAAATCGATCGGAACGAACGAAATGGGGCTTTGTGCCCTGCCCGCCGGCAGCCCCTGCGTGTTGACAAGTTCATTTCAGAGCGTCGGCTTTTATTTTTGAACAACAGGTCCTAGCGGTGAGATCTGAAGGGAAACTTTCTGTCTGCGACTTCAGGGATAAATAAACCCCCAGCGCCCGCAGGAGCTCAGTTCCTGTGCTGTGAGAGTGAATCCCTCTCCCTTTTTCCGCTGGAGTTTCCCTCCAGGACGATGTTTTGATGTTTTTTTTCCAGTTTGTCCCCTTCACCCAGCAGGACACAGCCACGTGTGGCTGCTGCGGCTCAGGACAGGCAGGAGCTCCCAAATTTGGGTCCCTTTTTGGGGAGCAAAGTGCGATTTGCTGTGAGGATGAGGATGAGGATCCTGCAGAGCACCGGGATGGGAATCCCCAGCCCCATGGTGGAACCATCCCCCAGTAAATAAATAAAAACACGTCCCGATGCCTCTGCCCTGGGTGGAACAATGCTGGGAGATTTCCTCTTGGCTTTCCAGCCTCTGAACTGATCAGACTGTTTTCCGCTCGGGCTGATGTTTCCAAATTTAAACTGCAGTGCAGGAGCTTCCCTACAACGTGCTGGGAATGGCACGCTGTGTTTTGGGGGTTTTTTTGGGAAATGCTGTAATCCTACAAGGCTCATTTTGGTGTGGCAGTTGCCCTGTGGTGGGGAGGTCAGGATGGGTTTGGAGATGTGGCATTTGGGGACGTGGTTTGGTGGCAGATTTGGCACCAAATCTGGGTTGGGCTGGATCTGAGAGGGCTTTTCATGAGCTCTGGTTCTGTGGGAGCTGTGATGCTGGGGTGGATTGGGATGAGGTTTGGAGAGGAGGCTCCTGCTGTTCCTGCCTAGTTGGAGGGGACATTTCCCAGCCCTGCTGTCTGTAATAAAATTGTTTATTACAATAAAAATGTAATAAAATTTTTTGGTTATCCCACCTGGCTGCTCTCACAGCTTTAGGGGACGTGATTGGGGTGGGTTTTGTGGCCCTGTCTCTGAAAATGAGGTCATTAAAGGGGAGCAGTGCAGAGCTGAGCCCACAGGAGTGCAGAGCATCAGCTGGAGTGGGAGTGGATGCTCTGCTGATGCCTCATCCTCAGCCAGGATGGGACCCAAACCATTCTGGAATCAGCCTTTATATTTGATGTTTTTGCTAATTCCTGGGAATTCGGCTTTTCCCCAGGGTGGTTAAAGGCACTTCTGCTGCCCTGGGGTGATGGGGATGATGGAGGGGCTGAGTCCCCCTGGATGCCTCAGCCCTGCTGTGGCTTTTGGGGACAGTTCAGTGTCTCTGGGCCAAATTTCAGAGGAATTGTGTAGGAATCCATCCTTGCCACCTGTGATGTGCTCAGACACGGGGCAGGGGTGTGCACTGAGGAACTTCAGAGGCTGTTTTTGATGATAAATGCACATTTTGCCTGGCTGGCTGGACTGGCTAACCAGCTGTCTGCCTCACTGGAGAGCTCATTTTGTTATTAATCAGGTGAAGTGCCGGGGGACAAGACACTTGTGCTAGACTTGAAACAGCCAGTAAAATACTCTGTCATCCACCTTTCCCTCTGAATTAACTGAGGTGTGCAGGTGTGCAATGAAAAACAGATTTTTGCCCGAGGTGAGCAGCGTTTCAAAGGCCAGAGGTGAAATCACATCACTGCACAGAAACACTTCAAGATCCAGGCACTTGCGTGTTATATTTTTTTTTTTTTTTTTTTTTAATCCTTTTCTGTGCTGATTTGTTTTTCCTTGCAGCTGTTGGAGGTGTGCTGAGAGCTGAGGTTGGAGTGTTGGCAGCACAGGGAGGCTGCAGGGGTTGGTGTCCCTGTCCTCCCGAAATGTCCCCAAACTCATAAAACCTCCCTGTGCTTGGAAGTGTTTCCAGTTCCTGGTTGGTTTGGTGGATGGAGGCTTAAACAAATGGAAAAAAAAGGAGAAAACAAAATTGAAAAAAAATTGAAAAAAAAACCAGAAAAAAAATAGAAAAAAAGAAGTAAAATCAGCTCAGGAGGGCTGAGCTGAGAGGCCATGCAGCAGTAGGGGGTTATTAAGCATAATACTTAATGCTTAATTAAATAAACGAGGCAAACCACCCCGTTAGTTGCAGTCTGAAGTTTGCTTTATTTTCATATTCAGCTCCAGAGACCCCAAATCTGCTCCTTGGCGGGGCCTGGGAGGATGGGATGACCCCAAGAACCTCCAGAGTGGCCAAGAAAATAAACAGGAAAAACAATCTTGAGTCCCAGCTCTCTTGTGAGAGTCACTGGACGTGAGGGCAGTTTGGATGGGGTAAAACTTCATTTCTGCTCTTCGTTTCTGTTTCTGGAGAGCTGGGAATGGCATGGCGGTGATTGGTGCTTATTGATCATTGTGTCTGTAGCTGTGATTGGGTTTCTGGGGGTGTCATTCAGGGAGATTTTCCAGCCAAAGTGTGGTGCAAAGGACATTGGAATTTACAGAGGTGGGAGCCCTGTGCTTTGCCATCCCCAAAATCCCACTCCTCTCCCCATTCCCATTCCTAATCCCAGCCCTCTTCCACTGAGTGAGACAAAGATCTTTAAACTTTACATTTTCATCCATAATTAGCTTTGAATCTTAATTTTGTTAAATCTCTGGTCAAATACAAATTAAATGACTCTCCACTGCTGTTTCAGCATTAAAAAAATATGTGCACTAAAAACACCTGCATGTTTGCATGTCTGGGTGAGGTTAATATTGATGCTGTGAATTTTGTGAGGTTTTCCTTTTTTTTTTCTTTTTTTTGGCATTTGTCTTAGATACAATTAATCCTTCCTGACAGGGCCTTGGGTGTGTTTGGGGTTTGGTACTTTGAATTGTTTGGGATTTGGTAGGACAGCCTAGGTTGGAGCAGAAACCTTGTGGGCTCTGCATCAGCTGTGTCAGACACATTTGCAGGATTTGATCAGGAATTATCCAGGAAAACTGGGGGGATTTGGGAATTTCCTGCAGAATTCCAGATCTCTGTCCCTCCTCTGGTTCAGTCTCATCCCTCCTGGGGATGCTCTGAAGGGCATTTCTGCTCTGAAATGGGTTAATTCAAGAGAGAACAACTGAGGAAGAAGCAATAAACCCCAAATCCTGCCCCACTGCCCCATCCTGGCTTTCTGAGCGCTCTCTGTGGGTTAAGAAAGGTGAAAATTGGTGCCTGCACACAGCTGTGATGTGTGATTTAACATCAGGACTCCCATGGATATCACCCCCCATCAAAGGCTGGCGTGGGCAAAATATCTCTGCTAAAAACCTTCATGGTCTCTGCTAAAAATCTTCATGGTCTCTACTGAATTATCTTCATGGTCTCTGCTAAATATTTTCATGGTCTCTGCTGAAAATCTTCATGGTCTCTGCTAAATTATCTTCATGGTCTCTGCTAAATATTTTCGTTTTCCTGCTCCAGAACCTCCTGAATTCTGGAAATGAAGCAGCCACGGAGTGAATGTGTTGGTGGGTGCACAGAGTTGAATTGTGCTGCGTAGAATTTAGCAGTAATGGCCAACTCATTAAGGATTCTTATTTGGGAGCATACTGACATCTCTCCAGAGGGAATCCAGCCCTCCCTGCAGCACCTGGAGGTTTAACATCAAGACTCCCATAGATATCACCCCCCTTCAAAGGCTGGCGTGGGCAAAATATCTCTGCAAAATATCTTCATGGTCTCTGCTAAAAATCCTCATGGTCTCTGCTAAAAGTCTCCTTTTCTCTGCTAAATATCTTCGTGTTCTCTGCTAAATATCTTCATGGTCTCTGCTAAATTATCTTCATGGTCTCTGCTAAAAATCTTCATTTTCCTGCTCCAGAACCTCCTGGATTCTGGAAAAGAAGCAGCCACGGAGTGAATGTGTTGGTGGGTGCACAGAGTTGGATTTAGCAGCAATGGCCAGCTCGTTAGGGATTCTTATTTGGGAGCATACTGACATCTCTCCAGAGGGAATCCAGCCCTCCCTGCAGCACCTGGAGGTTTGATTGGGGCCCTGGGGGCT